CCTAACTGGAAATCAAGAAATAATTTTTGTAGAAAAATGTAGATACGTCATATGATATTCATAAATAATTAATTAAAGTCATGCCAAACAATTGTTTCCTGTGTTTCTACAAGAAAACATGCAACGCGAAGACTTCCTTGCTTTTTGATTACACTATTACACGCTTCCTCTCGAACTGATAGCAAAAAAACTTTAAGTGCAGTTTGCAAAGTTGATTGGCTTTTCAGAGTTTCTTTTTGTTTCTTTCATTTTTCTTAATTTGAAACCAAAGCCAACCATCAGTTTTAAGAACAGATTAGAAAAGAGAATTGTAAGGTCACGTGACAGAATCTCCAGCCCCATTCTAGAAAAAAATTCAGTTTCCACGATAACGTAAAAACGTCTTTGCCCACTTCTTGTAGATCAAATTCTAGTGCTTTTCAGCGCCTATCGTCAGTTTAGCTACTAAGATTAAACCACAGGAATCCCACATTTCGTATGTACTTATGACGTCAAGCAAAGCGTTCCACGGTCGTCAATGAAAACAACATGGCGGGCGATGTGAAGTTCTGTATAACCATTGCGCTTTGCGTTCTTTTTCTCCAGTCATTTACTCAAGTAAGCTACTTAAATGTATATATTATAGACTTATATCGAATAGCTTTTGTTTGTATCCACCAATGTAATTTTTCACGCTGCTAGCTGGATGTCTTAAATAGCTCAAAAACTCAAAAGTTAACTTATATTAAATTGTAACTTTCGAATTGTACTCAATCTTTTTCTGCTTTAAATTTGTGCAACAGGCTCAGGACTCGGATTATTACTACGAAAGCTATGATATTCTCAGCAGAAGCAGACGTTCGGTGTCCGCTTTTGGTAAGTTAACTGGCCTTGGATGTCTTTCGATGTACTTCAGAAAGTATGTACTTAAAAAAAACTTTTCTCTCGCATTATAGATCCACCATCTCCATCTCCTGAATTTCCTGCTGTATTATTCTCTGATTTGAATTACAATAATGCTACCAATAGTGGGTATTACCATCGTCTAAGACCCGACCATGAGTACAGAGTGTGGGGTCGAACAGTCGCTGGAAGTGTTCGAGAGTTCGAGTTCAGGTCTATGTTGTTTATGTCTGATGTGAGCATAACATTCAAAGGTGAGCTCGGGAGGGTATTCTGAGGTGATAACCGAATCGCAGTTTTTGCTGAGATTTTATGGTAGTCAATGACTGTGAGGGGAATACTTTTTAAAAGTTGAAATTATACAAATAATGGCAACATTTTTCCCATTTCGATGTTCTTTGCTTTTTATAATAAACATTGTTGAGATTTAAGATGGCACAGGGAACTGCGAAGGAGATTGTTCATTGGTAACATTTTGCTGTTGGTTTTCAGCGTGTTGCCTTGCAGGAAATACATGGACCAAAACAGTATCTAACGTCCCAAACATCTCCAATATCCATCTTTGGATGTTTGACAGGCCAGATGTTAGTGGTGCAAGTGGGATATTCTACACAGATTGGACACATTGGATGATGGACTTTTCACTCAAAGTATCTTGTCCACCTGGAGGATGCAAGGCATCTAATTGCAGTCAAACCTGCTATTTTGGTACATGTGGGACAGATCTAACATGTCAGTGCACCAATGGACACTCTGGTGCAAACTGTGAAACTAGTAAGTCGTTTATAATTACTGTAGCAATAATTATGGTCAATAACATTGCCATAAGCGTAGTACACAAAACACAAACGAATAATGTCATATCATAAAGTTGAAGTAAAAGAATAGAAAAACACTGAGTAAGTTCATGAATTTTTCAGAAAAAGTAATAATCATCTAGTATATGTAATATAATATGTAAGTTTTTAAAATGTTATGGGAAAATTAAACAGCTCCTAGGCTAGGGAGCGCAAGGACAGTAATCTACAAGTAGCAATCAGCACTAATGATTGTCAACTGACAAATAAACACTAGAAAAACTAACTACCATGGCTCGGATGAACCCTGAAGCTCAATCAAGATTGCTGAATAGATTATTTAATCCAAAACTGGACAATAATATTTTGATAATTCCAACACAGGACCATCAGTAAGTGAACCATTTCCAACGTTACAGTATCCATTACTCCTGTTCCCGCTGAAGAACTTCAAAGGAACTCCAGTGAAAATCACCCCAGGAAAAATGACAACGTTTGCAGAAAATAAACAGAAACTGAAGGCAATGACATATAATTCACTGCGTGTTCTCTACACAAGGCCATTAGTTTTCTCTAGGATTGATCACCAGGTTACTACAACAGTAGCCATAGGATCAGACATTGAGGATATTGCTGGTTATATGACGTCAAACCCAGACATTGCAAATGCACTTTGGTTCAACTATGCTTCTGATATTAATTTAGAGTTTGGTGTGAAAGTTGATGAGGTGGCAGCTTGTGCAAATTGCAGTACAACTGGTGGTTGTTGTTATACTGGAAGTTGTATTTGTTTACCTGGGTATTCTGGAGCTAATTGTGATGTTAAAAACCCTTAATTACACAACTGTATATCATCTTTGAACTATGCCTAATATTTAATGTACTGGTATTAATATTGCACATGCTTTGTAATTTAAAAAAAAAAAAAAAAAGGTCAGCTGTCTTGAACACTTTCTACATGAAATATTGAGTATCATTACTCCTTAGTTAATTCACGTAATTATACAGTAATTTGTTCAGGAATAACTGTGTCAAGATAAGACATTTGGGGTGCATATGATTATTATATTTTAAGTAATTTTCATGAATTGTCTCTGTCAACCATTGAGGTATATTCATCAATCAATGCTTAGTTGTGAAATCCAAATTAAAGATTCAAGGCAATTTTGACAGAAAAATAGTACTACATCTCAATAATAATTCATAATTTATGCTCATGTAAGTTTAAGATGAGTTTACTTGTGATATCACTTGAGACAAAGAAGCAACCCATCTGGTGAAGCCAGCTTGTTCCAGTTCTTGTTTCTTTGTGGCTAATGCACTTTGTAGCTTTTTTGCAGCCTTGCCAAGATCATTGGGAATCTGAAAATAAGTTAAGTGTTTGTTTTACAACTGTATTTCACGATGACCTCACATATTAAAAACATTGTAATTTATTGTACTGATTTATGGATCATAATAGTCAAGACACAGTATAATTATTGATTGTAACTTGTAGTATAATGACTCAAATGATATAAAAAACAACGGCATTGAATGATGGTGGGCCATGTCCCATTAACAGTCTGTCAGGTAATTGCAATATTGCTCTACATGTATATGACCATGATTATTCACTTAATTATTATTATTCATTTTATCATCTTCCACTGTCTTGCTGTAATAGAAAGATGTACTAGTTAATTTATTCATTGATTTGGTATCAATTATGATTATTATTAATTAATAAAGCACTTTTACCTTTGGTATGGGTCTGTCAAGTGATTCTTTGCTTAGTTTTGTGAGGTTGAGTGATGTTGCAGGAATAATGCCCTTTTTAAATAAAATCATAGAATGCACATGTGATCTTAACTTTAGACATTTTGGTTGAGTAACCATGGCCAAAAGAACAGAAGAAAACAACGGATAATCTTTTAATGTTTTCTCTCTTTTTTTCCCCTGATTTCATACTGTGTGAAACTGGGAACAAGTCCCTTAATTCACACCATTGTGATGATTAGAACTTTCATAGTTAAAGAAAGACAAAATAATAAAATAATATCAGTTTTGCACCTGTATGTTCTGGTCATAACTATTGTTATCATACTGCTTCTCTTGCTCTTCATCAGCTTTTAGCAAACTTGAAGAAAAAGTTAACATAAGGTTTAATATTATTTAATAAAGTGAATGCAAAAATGTAAATAAAATAAAAAAACAATCATTGCCATCACTCTTCAAAGTGGTTCTCCTCCATGTGTGATATAGTGCCCTCCTTCACCATGAATCCCTCAAACCTATTATTTACCTCTTCTCTTCCTCTAGTTCATTTTCAACTTGCAACAACTGACTGTTTATAGTGCTCAGCAATTCCTCTGTACTTTTCTGAAGAAAGACAAAAATATTACATTCAAGACTTCTTTCATATTAGATACTTTTACATTATTTGCCAAATAGATTTAGTGAAGGTGCTATCATTCCCCTCCTCTCCCATACCAAAAAGGGCAACATCAGGAAACCAAGAAGCACATGGCCCAGAACAGCCATAGATGCTTACAACATAAGCCAGAAGTGAATTGAAAGCAACAGAAGACAATGGAGTGGAAACGAGACCTAAGAGCACTGTATAATATCTAATATCTAAGCATTTCATCCATTTGAGTTCAAGAAAAATTGTTCGTCTGTAGAAAAAAGACATTGTCTGTCTTCTAGTTAAATATTCAATAAGAATATTTTTCTCTTCCTATTAAAAGCTACTTCTGGTTTATTCCGTATTAGGACACGCACAATAGTCGAATGTGAAGTAACAAGTTAAAGGGTCTGTACTTACAGTTTCTGATTCTAGTTGCTTGTAGTCTAGCTTGTTGTCAGGCCCTCTAAGACAGTCCAGCTTATTAGTGATCCTTTTTGATATAATTAATGACAAAATGAAATTTGCTGGCAGTATAATACAAGATTCAATATCATAAATGAAGATTTTTGTTCTAATTGAGCAGTCTTTACCAAAACATAATCACAGGTTTTATTACAACCAGGAATGATGTTAGATGTATTTATAATATAGTGCTTTAGAAAATACAATAGTATATCTGGAGCAGAATCTCCAGCATATCTTCCCTGTCAGACAGAAAGGAAACGAGAATAGCAGGGAAGCCCTAATAAGGAAATTTGGCTTGCAGGGTTTCAAGAATATAGTCTTAATTGTTTTGGAATCTCTAATTACCACAAGAGAAACATTACCTTTTTTGAAGATTTTGTAAGCACTGTTGGGTCTGATCTTTTTTATCATCATTTGTGACCTTGTTGACTATGTTTCTAAAATGAGTATGAATAATGAGCACAAAAAGAACATTGATGACGATAACCAGGTATAATAACTAATATGTTTACTGCTTCCTAGTTTACAGCATTATACACTGCCACCTCTGCACAAACATGCATATAATGTAATATTTAGGACTGGTTTACTTCCCTATATTTGCTATACAATTATGTGCCGCTCTATAGGGCCCCTTTTTCAGAGCTCCAACTCTGGGATAGGGTATCAGTTTTTGCCCATTTTTCTGTGATAGGTAGTCTTTTTTGTCTGGGATAGGCTAGGGTAGTAGTTTTGTCTGGGATAGGGTAGTTTTTTTTGTCTGGGATAGGGTAGGGTAGTAGTTTTGTCTGGGATAGGGGTAGTTTTTTGTCTAGGATAGGGTAGTAGTTTTGTCTGGGATAGGGTAGTAGTTTTGTCTGGGATAGGGTAGTAGTTTTGTCTGGGATAGGGTAGTAGTTTTGTCTGGGATAGGGTAGTAGTTTTGTCTGGGATAGGGTAGTAGTTTTGTCTGGGATAGGGTAGTAGTTTTGTCTGGGATAGGGTAGTAGTTTTGTCTGGGATAGGGTAGTAGTTTTGTCTGGGATAGGGTAGTAGTTTTGTCTGGGATAGGGTAGTAGTTTTGTCTGGGATAGGG